GATAGCCATGTGGAGGCCAGCAGATGATGTGGAGACGAGCCATAAATAAATGCACAGAGCGATTAGGTAGAGTAGGTGTCTCTCGTCTTCCGGGTTGGGGTCCAAAAGACTCCGAAACCGCATTGTTGGAGACACTGAAGGTCATGGCTGCGAACCGACAGCTATGGCGATCATGTTGTCAGTTCTTATCAGTCCAGAAAATTTGAAATAATATGTATGCACAGTTGGGCTGTGTACTCTGTGTTTTGACCATAGAGGTTCACTTTCTTTTCCTGTCTTTAAAAATAGGCCCAATCCCTATCCTCCTTACGCATTCCCACTTATCTTGTATGCATTATGAGTTTGGCAGCGATCAGTGAAGTTCGCTTCACTGTATTACGTTGTACAATGATGATGATGATGGCACGACGGTGTTCTAGCAGCTGTCGGAGGGTGGAGATTTGATGGATGCATCCACGACCGGCACTAAACCCAGGCTGCTCCTCACGCGTAGTGTACAATGGGCGGAGAATGACGGACGCCAACAGCTTTGACGCTATCGGGATAGGCTTATGCCCCTGTGATTGTCGCCGTCATTGCGAAGGTCCTTGTTGAAGATGGAAACTCCCCCCACGAGGAGGGCACCTGCTCAGTGTTCCAGACTTTAGAGAACAGAACCTGTAGTTCTCTAACAAGACTAATTCCACTATCTTTAAATAGGGCTGGGGGAAAGGCCATCAGAGCCTAACGCTTTGTGACATCCCAAGGCCAGGATCTCCTTATGAATTTCCACTTCAGAAAGTGGGTCTGTTGATATAGACCATGGGACGTGTACCGGAATAGCTGTGTGAGAAGCTGACGCTGGCAACCAGCTTAATTGTGCTTTAAATTGCTCCGCCCAGCGTGCAAGGCGTCGCTGTTGACTATGAATGGGCAAACCGTCAGCTTCGCAGATCGTTTCACTCACACCCAAGGCTTTCCTACCGGTGACCCGGATGAGATGGAACAGCTTACGGGAATTATCCATGGCAACAGCACGTTCCATTTCTGACGCGCGTTGAGTCCACCAGATCTCGCGGTCTCTGCGTGGGCTGACATTAAGTTCACGTCTCGTTACGAGTCGTGCTTTATTATGCTCACTGCCGGTCGAAATAGACTGAAGCGCGTCAAGAAGGCGTAGAAACTCTGCAAAGATCCAGGGTGTCGCGGCGCGACGAGTCAGACCACAACTAACTAAGCCAGCAGAATGCAGAGCATTCTTGATAAGCGACCAGGGCTGGTTAACGTCATCGGGTGGGGTTGGTACTAGCTTTACAGCTAGTGCGTTTTGGAAGACAGACAAGCTGGTTTGGACAGCTTATCACAGTCTAACTATCGTTGTGTCGTCCGTTTGGAACGCCCACGGAAGCACATGGACAGCTTAGCGCATACTCGTGCGTGGTCGGATTCGAGGGGAGTGCTCAAGTAAGATCGGCAATCTTGAATGCTGCCCCGCCATTTGTGGCCTATCGCGATGTGGTCGATCTGCTTCCGTCTCTGACTCGAGGAGAGCGGGGGCCAAGTGGCATACCGGCAGTTGGAGCTTCTGAAGTTCTTACTGGCGAGGAACACGCGGTGGTCGGAATACAAAGCCAACAGCCGCTCCCCGTTTTCCGAGGGACGGGAATCTTGTCCGAAAGGACCTCCCAGATGCACCTCACTCCTAGTCAACCGGCCTACTCTAGCATTCATATCTCCTGCTAAAATCACGATATCAGCCCGGGTCGCTTTACGCAAGAGGTCGTGCAGATTGTGGTAAAGTTCATCTTTGACTGCATCTGGGCTGCAGTCTTTTGGAGCGTACGCCGATACGACAAACAAGTTCCGTTTATCGTGGCGACGGCTGCTTACCTTGCACGAACCTCTGAGTCTCACTGCGCACAACCTACTGTCAACTGGGATCTACTCTCTCTCTCTAAGAGCTACGCTGACGCCAGCAAGACCGGAAGCCGCAGCCTCATGGTCCCCAGATTGCTTAGATGGGAACGTCAATCAGATAATGGAGGTGGAGTCTTGAATGCGAGTTTCTTGGATGTAATACACATCGATGGTTAGGGTTTCGAGCGTACGAGCTAAAAACGCCTGCTGTCCTATATGCATCCGAGTACGCACATCAAACGTGGCTAGTTTGAAAGAACGACCGAGGTAAATCGAATGTAAAGCTAACGCTTGAGTTTGTTAGAACTCGTTAAGTAATCTTTANNNNAATGGCTAGAGGAAACTCTTCCATTTTGCTCACTGCAATTATATGGCTTGTACCCCTCCTGGCATTGATTCCGATGGTTCATTTAAAAGATGGCCGGAATCCTTTTTCATGGTTTCCACCGGACAACTTTGATATCATTTCCCGCAAGATGGACTTGGCCAATCCAGATAACTGTGTCACTATGTCTGAAAGTGATTTGAGACTTCCCCCAACTTCACTGAGCCAACTACCACGCTACAATCAAATTCTTTTACAACAATGGTTTTCTAACCGATCGAAGCTATTACATCTTCATAATCTTGCGCTGAACAGAGCTTTCTTCTACAGCTACATACAACAACGTCTTGATGGTCCGGTCATCGACCCGCCATTTTTACCGTCTTTCCTATACTACTATTTGTCTGCTGCCGCTGATGTATCTTCCGGACCGAACGTAATGAACGCGAGTGCTGTGCTGATGGATACCAATACTACATATGCTAACTGGTACGGACTGAAAGTTATCAATCGTACTTTGCCATTGTTCGGTCCAACGGCCCGGAGGTTGGATAACTGGAACGATGAGAACAATTTTCTTCGTATCCCAACGAACAAAACAATAAAGGTAGGGAATTATTTTGCCAAAAGGTAACTTTTTTGCATTGTATCTTTGGTATATCTTATTGCAGTTTGATGCAACCACGAAGTTCATTAACTTCACTGGGAAGTAAAATTTAAAAGCGACAAGGGTGATAATTTGTCTGCAGAAGAAGCAGTGGTTTTGGGGCAGATGGATCTTCTCACCCATAGTCTTATGTGATGTTCAGTTCAAATAACAAAAATCAGGGGATTCAGTTCTTTCATTGTTTAACACGGTGAGCCGTGGATCGAAAGATTAACGGTGAGTTTTCCACGATGGAGTGCTTTCATTCGGAGGCAGTCAGTTACCCAGTCGTTTAATATTGATCTATTCTTCTCAGTTTTGTTTTCCGATCACGCTTTAACCCCGACCCGCAGTAATTTAGCCTCAGCGTGCAGTCTTTAGTCCTACCACTGTAAGTGAATAAGAGAATAACGTGTCGAAATTTTCTGAGGTTAGCGAATACTGATAAGTTTAATTTTTTGTAAAGGTTAATGCGGGAAAGCTTGATAAAAATATGAGACGTAGCGATCATATGCTGCGCAATCGAATGCCGTAACTCTATCAGATTTTGAAACGTGAATAAACTGATGACAATAGTGAAAGTATGTGTTTGGTAACTGTGTTTACTATCCTCGGGCTGTCAGCATGTAGCTCAGGGCTTGAAAATCTAAAATAATATACCTTTTTGTGCTTCATTTAGATTTACAGGAGTAGTGCATTTTATATACTTTTCTAATGTATTCCCGTCATTGGACCTTCGATGTGTCGGTAATGAGGCTGAAAAACACCACAATAAGTGACAGTAATCTTCTTCGTACCTATCGTTATGCCCATTTAAAATACGGATAACGATGAAATGGATGGATAAAACAGATTCTATCGTTGCACTAGCGCCAAAGATTGACGGAGAATAACCGAATGTGTACACGCAGGTAGTCATTTGATTGGTGTCAAATAGCAAGACGCTAAGATCAAAACATGCTGTGCTATTGTAGCCACCGGCCGGAAAATACCACTCAAGCCGGGATCTTGCTAGACGAAGTTCAATGGCGAGTACGCACAACGTTTGTATGCTGCTGTCCACGAGGACGCAACAAACACATTGCGACATTTCAAGGGGAGGATAGAAACCAAAAATTGGAAACTATCAAATTGAAACGAGCGGAATTGTATTTACAAACCTTGAGCGAAATCCAGAAACGATATGATAAAGCAGCAAATGCTTGCCGTTTAATAGCTCCATTTCAAGAGAAATCCTTTTAGAGAAGCTGACACACTGACAGTCCGAGGATAATGAACACAATTCACAAATTTCCGTCCCCATTCCTGTCATCGGTTCATTCACGTTGCTATATTTGACACAATTACGGCTGTCACTTGTGCAGCATACGATCGCCACATCTCATTTGTTCATCAAGCTTTGAAACATTACATTTGTAAAATATTAGGTTTCTCAATGTTATTTGACCCCAGGAAATTCCGATACATTTTGATCCGACTGGCTTTCAGCACTATTGCAAAGTAGTATGCCTCAAGGATAAAGGTTGCATGGGTCAAGGCTAAGGAATTGCGAGTTTTTTTCGGGGATTGTGAGTCGAGGCTAACTAATTAAAGGTTTGGGCTAAAGCTTGATGGGGAAGATTTGGTTGTATTTGATAAATTGAATCAGTTCTTTGTACTGATTGTTTTCTGAACAAAAGGAGAGACTTCGAACAGTAATAGCTGCTAAGGTTTTTTATTTATACATATAAATGAAATACTTTTGTTTCAGATATTGATCATTCATGACATGTTTCTTCACGACGAGTTTTGCTTTGATTCCTGGAACAGATTTATGATATGGGAGCTGGTCCAAACAGCAATTACACTGCACCTTGGTATAAAAACAATCCGTATATTCGTGATCGAGAAATGGGTATTGATTTTATTCCGGACCATCGGGGTACCGCTCCAAGCAAAAACCAATACACCACGAAAATTCAGCTGGCCACAATTACAGGCGAGCCAATTTCAGAACTAGAAACGCTAAAGTTCTACGGTCCCAATGCGCCGGGGGTCAAAGAAACATTTCTTCCTGTGCGATTCACTCGACCTTACTTCGATTGTGGAGCAAGCAATCGATGGATAGTGAGTTCTGTGGCCGCCCTAACCGATTATATGCCGCGATATTCGAATATCACGCGTTTGCGTGGCCCACGGTGAGTTTATTTTTTGTCTTCTATTTTATTACACGTTGATGAACAACAGACGGGATGGACCCCATAATTGCGAAGATATGCTATTGAGTGATGGAAACCGGGACTTGAAGCGGTGAACCATATAAGGTCCTACTAGATGAGGTGTGGTATTAACTCGGACCACAGCTAAGCTGCCTACCACCAAATTTGAGTGGTGTTGGCTTGTTTCGAGCCTCGTACCACGGGGTTCAAAGCACGCCGATGACAGCACCTTAAACCGATTCACCACCACAAAAGGTCCTGATCGTTTTGCAGTCTTTGCTCCCATTTTGTTGTAGCCAAATACGTGTAGTGACAGTGAAGTACTCTGCAGTAAGCTAATGATGTGTAATACACCAACCTTACAACTGGGTAACCCTGAATTCCTTAGTTGACTTATATCTCACACTACTTTAATTCAGGTATTGAGTGCACCTGTTAAATTGCTATGGTTTTACTATTTTTTTTATAGATGTATGTTTTAGTGTTAAAGCATCAAGCCATGTAGCATATCTTCTTTTAGGAACAATGGAGAACGTGAAATACTGCAATGATGGAAGATGCCATCGTGCAGCTGATTGGTGTTTCTATCCGATGAGAATAATTCAAGTGTACATCAGAGTATGTAGGACCGTCCTCATTGGTAATTCGGGCCGTAGAGTTACCAGCTCAAAAAGGATTGACCAAACTTTGGATTGGGGGGAGGTCGTTTGAGNTCGTTTGAGCACAACGTCCAACATATAAGATTCATTTCGGCTCTTTCTCAGCGCATCCCGGGACCTCATCAGTACTCAAGACATTGTGATTGATTTGTTTAGTCAAATCATTTCAGAATTAAGAAAACTGCACCATGTGGACCTAATTACGTGGCACCTCCGAGATTAGCTTGCCCAACTCGATCAAATTGGCAGTTTGAATTCAAATGTTTTGTTATGACTGTTAACAAGCATTTTAACAGGATTATTGCTGTGATAACGAAAATATTCACGTGCTTTGCGCCTGACATGCGCGAACGCTTTTTCCTTATCATTTCTGAATAAAGATTTGACATAATACTGAGTCATTCCGGTAGAGCTGAAATCAGTCGAGAAACGATCGAGGAACAAAGTCCATGTACTTGCCTAACCTTGATGGTACTCACACTGAATTTCCAAATAAAGATTCGAAAAAAATATTTAGATTCGAATGGCGAATTTGGTAGAGTTGAACTTGTTGTTTTCGGGAGTGTACTGTTTTAGAACACACCGTATGAATGTGAATCAAGCGCTTTGATCATCTGCTCGACCGGTCCATAACAAGTTGGATTTTTGTAAACACCTTAGTGTAAGCAGCAATCAGGGTAATCCCCATACTCTCGAGAATCTCCTGTTCATTGATAAATACTGACGACCTAAGAGATGGAGCCATCAGGGAAAAGCTAACTGCACAAGCTACCCATTGAAGAGGTGCGTTATTGAGCCTGATAATGACAGAACCATGGATAAAAGATTCAGACATCACTCATTTACGGATATTATTTTTGTGTGAACCCCCAGTTATGTTTATCATCGAAGTAGTTATCCAAATTGTGACATGATAAAAAAGCAAAAAGGTTTAAAGATGTATTTTTTACGCTATCCCTAATTGAAACTGGGATATTGCAGATGCAGGATTACGTTGATTGAAAGGAAAACCATGATCACAGTTGCGGCTTATTGATGAGGAGAAAGATCAATCCCGTTGCTCATTGACTCATTATATCATGTCCCATAAGGAACAGAGGAAAAGGTTCCAGTCTAAACATAGACTAATATTTAGGATTCTTCTTAAACACAATAATTGGCCACCATTTTATGGAACTCAGGTTTGAATGTTGATCGTCTGAGTTCTGACCCATCATCCATTTCCCCCGATCAATATTGTTTGGCGGGATACGATCTGGAAATGGTCGACAAAAAACATCAACCATCATTTTTATCCTTTTGGGATATATATGTATTTTCACACACGTTTGAATCCAGACTGTGTGCCAAACAAATCATGTTACAATAATGTTTATGAAAAAAATGTTCTATGATTTGCATGTGGGTACAATACTACCAGGTTGCCCCGGCCAAGGCTGGTGAATTTTCTTGGGGAATCCACAACCAGAGCCTTCGGCTAGCCAAAGCCTAACCCACAAGGCAGCGGGGCGGTGTGCGAAAACTGCAATCCATTGGGGGCAGGGTTAGGATAGTTATACCGTTTCAGGTAGACAAAATTCCTTATCCGAAAGGGGACCATATCACACATGAGCGAGGTGATTGTATGGATTAATTGACACTGATTATTTAGTCCGTTTATCACCGAATAAGCGAACTTCTCTTTCCCTACTTATGTTATCATGACCTGATCATAGATGTTCGGTTCCACTGCAACGTCTGAGTCTTGGTTTGTACATGTCAACGGATAGACGTTTTCGGTTGTTAATCTTTGTTGAGGCCAGTATTTGGTGGGTTATGAACAAGGATGGTCTAATAAGGGTTGTGAAAGTTTCCAACGGAGTCATAACCGTAGTGTCTATTGCTGAGATGATACAGGCGTTATGTCCGCAACAAGCTCGCCAAGATGGGTTGTGCTGTGTCGTGTATATTCAAAATGATAATCGGTCGGATCAGCTGCCCAGTGGCTGAGTGGGTTGTATGCTTGCGTTCTACCTGTAAGATACCGGGTTCGATTCGCAGTTGGGTCGATTAACTCACACTGTTGATGAGACCCAACCAGGTCGAGACAG